TTCGTAACTCTCTTATGGATCGGGCTCTAAATCATGGTCCTCTTGATCTGAAATGGTTAAATAAGGAATGAGTTACACTAGCCCAGTAAGAATATCACGTTACTCACCAACACAGAAATGAAAGTTGGTAAAAAAATCAAAAACAACTAATAGAACACTTAATTAAACAAATTCATTTATCAATAATAAAACTATTTACCGTCCACTTATCATAGCGAGATTTATAAAAATAACCTATAGAGACAATAACATAACACTTATCATGATTTCATATGCAATCGGTAACATGCACATTTTATAATTTCATACTCAATTAATCAAAACAACAACTCTCCCTTTTCATCAGTCTGCTGGTATCCATGGGAGTTCATAGGGATGTTCCCACTACACATGAACCAATTCCTTTAACATTCTCAATTAAGGGGTCGTCCCATACCCTCTCCAGTATGAGGGTGAAACGAGTCGTCCTCATATCCCGTCCAGTATGGGCACCAAATTACCAAACTTCAATACCCCATCCGGTATAAGACAACATTCACGGTAGGGTTTCCTATATACTCAGTCCATCCACCATCTCCCAAGATATCCAGTAAGGCTGTCGTTTTATCCATTCACTTAATCACACAATTTTTCGTTTACCTTTAACCTCCAGTTCACTAATCAACTGTAACCATACAAAACAAACAATATATGCATTCAAAACTATAAAATGGATCAATCAAATACTATCATACATTTAAATTGTAAAATAAATCAACAGAATCAGCAATGAATAGTTTACAGTTCTGGCTCCATTAGTAATCCGTAATTAATTATGAATATTTTTAAAATTGCATAAAATACCATATTATTGTTAATTAAACGTTAATTTTATAACAGATAATAGGGTGAGGGATTCTTACTTAATTTGATGCCCGAAAAGCTAAAATGTTCAATGCGCTTACTGACGGTCCCCAGATTCCCTGAATTTTTCTTCGGGGATTAAAATACGCTATAAATACCTATAAATGTCACACAAAAATTCAAAATTAGTGTCAGGACCAATTTTTGGCCAATTACGGAATTATGTTGTGCTCCGGCGACAGTACCACTGCCCGCGGTGGCAGTCCGCCTCAAATCGACTATTTTCAGCCGAATTCAGCTGATTTTGCATTAATCCCTATGAGAAAATACGTTAAGGAGTCTCGATTGGCTAAAAAAAATAAAAAATCAAAACTCACTGCCTGCGAGGCACTCTGGTGCGACGGCTCCGCTGGCTCACTTTACGGTTGGGTGGTTTGCTCCAGTTAACCTGTAGAGAAGGAAACGGTAATCACAATGGTAAAAAAATTATGCATAACAGGAATTGGGAATGGCCTTATCGGAAGCAATTTTTGCAATTTTCTATGGCAGCGCCGCTGCGTTTTGCACGTGATTTTTGACCAATCCACCGGTCTTTTTACACCGATTTGGCCATGAGGGTGTTTAAAATTGAATTCTGAGCAAAAGAGAAAATTTTTTATCTCGTTTAGCGGTCGAAAATTGCTCCGGTGCAGCGGTGGGTGGTGGCGAGCAGCTGGGCTGTCTTCTCTAGTGAGGGGCTTTGGCGGCTAGGGTTAGGGTTTGGGTACGTATTGGGTTATTTATACCCATCCGCTTTTGATCTAGACCGTCCATTATTTTTTATCTAAACCATCCGATCATAATTAAATAGGGAGTGAATCTGAACCGTTCATTGCAATTCAATCTGAACCGTCCGTGTGCGATTCAATCTGGACTGTCCATGCGCGATTCAATCTGGGCTGTCCGTGCGCGTTTTCAATCTGGACCGTCCGTTCTCAACCGTTCGATCGCGCGCACGCGGATCGCCCACGTGGCTCCCTCCCACGTGGCCTCCCTCGTTAGTGCCTCTGCCACCTGGCGCGTCCTGGTTGGTCGGGGCTGTTGATCGGGCATTTGACGTGGTGTAACTTTTTTAAATTATATTTTGACTCTTATTTTTCGATTTTTCTTTCAAAAATACCTCCAAAACTCAAATTTTCACTCCTTTTTTTCCAAAATTGTTTTCAAATTAATTCTTTACAAATTTTATCCCTTTTTTTCATTAAATTAAAACAAATTAAATAAATAAATAAATATAAAAACACAAAAAATAAAATTAAAAAATATTATTGGGTGTTACACTGTATGTTTGAAATAAATAAATAAAATTAGGAACTAAATGTCTAACATTAGGAACTTAATTGTAATTAAGAACTAAATTATAATAAGTGATAAATTTTATAAATTAATGTAGTAGTAGTATGAATATTTTTAGATTAACTTTGAAATTAATTTATTCAGTAACAAATTTTATAAATTGTTAGTAAAAGTTTAGTTTGGAATAAAGAAACTTATAGTAGCGATAAATACGATAACAATTTGTTATCATCTTAAATGTTTGCTAATTATTTCTCGTGGGAATTGTTGGTAGTTTTCTTGTGAATTTGAGTTAGTTGTGGGTCTCATTTGTTTTAATTAATAAGTTAATTATGATTAATATGAAATAGTTACTATTTAAATTGAATTTTTATTAAAAAAATTCAAATAATTTAATGTATTTACCTAAAAACGTATGTTCATGCATAAAAATATGTATGTGAGATAATGATTTACAAAATATTATTTGCCAACACAGCATACTTGGTGCAAAATTATTCACCACAAATTTGTATTTAAAAAAGAAAAAAAAAAAATCACAAAAGCCCATTTGGTGTCGGTGGTTAGTAGACTGCGCGTCCCCAAAAGGGATGTGACCAATTGAGAAAATGTGCTACAAATTATTTTATTTTGTTATATGCTATTTATCACCCAATAAATTACTGCCACGTGGTATATGCGAGTTCATATATGGTGATATCATCAAGTCAAAGGTGTTACAATTATTTCTGTTTTTTTTTTTTTTTGGGTGAAGAAAGGATGTATTTACATGACAATAATACTGAAAATATATAAAGATGAACTGCAATTCTTTATAAAAGTTTATTGTATTATGTAAAAATATTTATTTTTAAAATTAGAAAATAGTTTTTATAAAATTTTTATACATTATTTTTTATTTCACTAGAAATTATCTTAATTTTTTTACCATTTTATAATATGTTATTAATTTTTAAAATATCACATCATAGTTTTTGAAATTTTTAAGAACAGGCAAATTAATTTTTTTTATCGAAAAAAAGAAGCATTGTTAATGTCCTTTATATAGGCTGCATTTTTTTTCTTGTATTCTATGCTTTAATAATATGAGTCCCACTACCAAGTACGCAAATCTAGTTTTTTTTTAATTATTTAAATAAATGAATGACATGAAATAAATTATATAAACTAATTGCTTGAAAAATATAATATTTTTTAATTTAGTTTTAAAATTGAAGGAAATTTTTGTATTATATCATTACATATGATTTTAGAAGCCAAACTTTAGTTTTAGTGAATAAGTTTTGATGAAATTAAATAGTTGAACAATATATATTAAGTTATTCACCAATACGATATTTACTTAATTATATATTTAGAGTGATTGAGTAGTAAAATAAAATAGTATTACACTTGACGATTCAAATAATAATAATAATATTACTAATATTATTAATAAGAGTGAGAGAGAAATGGCAAAAATAGTAAAGATGAGGGGTGAGAGGGCAATGTTGGTGGTGAAAACAAAAGTAGTACGGGTGAAGTGGTGGTAGTAATAAACATATGATAAAAAGGACAACAATAGGTGAATTAGGGTTTATATTAGCAGTGGTAGTGACAGTAATATTAATAGTACAGTAGCATCAATAACATTATAAGTAATGATAATAATAACAATAATGATATTAACGGTATTGATTACAATAACGATAGTAAGAAGAATTAAGAAAGTATATTAATGATAAAATAATAACAGTGCAGAGGATGAAAGTAAAAATAATAATGCTAATAGTAATAAAAATATTATTGAAAATAACAGTAGTCACAATAAAAGTGGCCACACTGGTGGTAGTTATAACAATAACGGTAAAAATGACAGTAATAATGATAGCCGAAGTGGCGGCAACAACGGTGATTACAGCGGGGATGGAAGTGGTAGAGTCGATTATGGTGTGAGTAGCTAAGATAAGGAGGGTGGAATATTACAAAACCTCTATTTCTGCTAAAAAAAAAATTGTTTTACAAGCCATTAAAAATGTTAAACGTAAGGGGAAGTTTCCACTTCTGAAACTTTCTTTTTTTTTTTTTGTGTTCAAGTTTAATTTTCAATTTTAAAAATTCATTTTAAAATGTAGTTATTTTTTCTATTAAACCTTACCTAGAAAACTATATATATCTTATTATTTATTCTGAAAAAGGAGAATTTTGAGATTCTTCGTGCATTCAAGGACCAAAATATGATAGGAAACAAAAATTTAAAAATCTAATTATAACATAATTTATTATCTAAGGACTAAATGGATAAATTACTCATTAAAATTAATATTCAAGGGAACATATAATTAGACTAATACCAAATTACTCTGTAAAATATAGTCAAAATCTTGAGACATTTCTGTAAACAAAAATATGAAAATTTATTTGACAAACAATACAATCTATCCAACCAAGATAATCAATCTATGTAAAGCATTTCTTAAGTCTACCGCCTGCAAACTGTTTGCAAGCAGATTGATTATTAAGGTAGGAAAAAAAATGGAGTACAGATTGCACATCTGAAACTCCTCTTTCAAGAATAATGCAGATGGCTGCCATCATGGCTGATTAAGTACTAGGCTACTTTCAGAATTCACATACAAATATTCCTACTCTTGCAAAACTTCAAAGAGACCTCTTGATCCTTTTTTCAATAATCTCAAGCCCCAACTTTGGCTTTCGCTTTCTGTTTCTTGGCATCTAATGATGTTAAACCAGCACCTAACCCGACTGGAGCCTGATCTGCTTGTCCGGATATTGGTTGCTTCTGTTTGGCATCAGCTGTTGGGCCATCTGAAGCTTCGCCATTGTTTTCTTTCTTTGCTCCATCAGTTTCCTGATTGTTACCAGCAGATTCTGGAGTTATCCCTGAGTTGATGATGTTAAGGAGTTGAGAAAGTGGTGGCAAAGCTTGTACCGGAACTCCATGGGGCCGAACTAGAAGGCCCCTAGCTGCTGCTTTCTTCCTAACTTCTGCTGCTGCACGAGCAGCTCTTTCATCAAACCCTCTACCTCTAGGAACACTCTCACCCACGATAGCCGCATTGATAGACTTGCTTACATTTGCGTTTGAACTTCCAGACCCCCCAGCTGCTGCTGCTGCTTGGAATGCATGTATCAAGTCTGGATGGGCCTGCAATGCAGAATTCAGTTGTAATAAACTCCTAACATTCAATAGAAAAGCAAATTGCGTGACCTAATTCTATAGCTAGGAAGTCAAAGTGAATATACCGCAGGTTTTAAGGATGTAAGAGCACAATCCTCTTCACCCATATCCGTCCTTGTCAATATACCATACAGAAAATAATATTTAGAAAGGAAAAGTTATTCTCTGTGGTGGTAAAAATCTTTCAGGTAACAAGTGATTGTTGCTTATGCTTAGGTTTTTGAATGTTTGTGTGTACCAGTTCCTCAGTTAAACAATTCTGTGGATTGGATGCTTAATCTTGACTGGTAATGGAAGTTCTAACACTCAAACTGACAAAAACATAAAAGAAGGGTTCGGTGGTTGCCCCACCGTGGCTCTGGGATCAAGAATGGAGATTGGAGTACATCATTCTCCAACTGTACCACTGGACTTGAACAGGAAATTAAAAGAAGATATCAAAAAAGGGTAAAAAAAATAATATGTAAAAGTACCTTCAAGATGTCAATAGCCTTCTGGGCAGATGCTGCATTTAAAGCTTGGCCTTTCTGCTTTTGCGCATTCATCTGTTCACATGAAAAAAAAATCAGCAGATCCAAAAGAAGATTAACATACTCAATGAATATGTAAAAAATGTCTGAGAAGTTCAAGCAGTTCGTAATCTACATTGTAATCCACATTGCCAACTCCATGCATGTACCTGAAGCTCACG